GCATAAGTGACACGGTAGAAGTCATTTTACTGGCTACAACTGAGTACAATAAGTCGATCCATTCGGTCATCGACCAGAGACCAGTTGATGTGGTTCAGGCTCAACCAGATGAGCCACAAGAGAAAATACAAGAAAAGATCAGAAACGCTCAGATGACGCTTAGAGCTAGGGAGAACGCAAATCGGCAGAATAGGGTCTTTGACGTTGGTGACAAAGTTTTGGTCAAGTCCAACCGACGACTCGGAAACAAACTCACACCTTTATGTGATGAGAAGGCCGTGGATGCAGACCTGGGGACCGAGGTCCTCATTAGAGGGAGGGTGGTCCACAAGGACAACCTAAGATGACTCTTGTTTTTTTTTTTTTTTTTTTTTTTTTTTTTTTTTTTTTTTTTTTTTTTTTTTTTTTTTTTTTTTTTTTTTTTTTTTTTTTTTTACGTTGGGCGCCAATTAATATGTTGCTGGTCCAGCGATGAACTAGGCGTCGGTGGCAGGTCCAGCGTTGATCGGGTATTTATAGTCTTAATCAATAAGTTGCTGGTCCAGCGATGAGCTAGGCGTCGGTGGCAGGTCCAGCGTTGATCGGGTAATTATAATCTTCTTATGATGATTATGTTGGAGGGTTTGACTTCACCCCCTTTTCTATTAACTGGCCTTGTGGCTCAGCAATGATCAGAAATATAACAATTTGATTACGGCGGTGTGCCGGAGTAGTGCGAGTTTATTCTTCAAACTTCAATACAAAACTGATTTTTAGCTACATAGAATATTTCACTTAAGCTAAGCCAAAACTCGCATCACACCACAATGTCATGGTCGGCAAGCCGACTCAGCAATCTTAGGCAATAACGGAAACTCTTGCAGTAAACAAAAGTATCTGGTTACCGCCGCTGACCATTGCAGTTATAGCGCGCTGATACAAAGTATGCAGTGTCGCAATTGCGAGGGCTGTTTCTTAACTTACGAAACACGCGATAGCGAGGGTTGATTATAAACTTATGAAATACCCTATATTAAATGTTATGTGTTAACTTATATATATATATGCTATATATGGCTGATATTTGGCATATAGAGTAGCTACTGCTGCCTGTTTTTTTGCTGTCGCCCGGCAAAAGTTTTTGAAAGATGTGCCATCCCCCAATCCGGCACTTAGACAACTCGCACGTCCAGCTACCAAAAAGTTCATTTCGCTTCGCTTCGTACTTCCCTCTCTCTTTTTTTCATTCATCTTCCCCTTTTTTTTCCATTCAGCCAAAAAGAAATATAAGTAAGTGTAGAGTGTGTGGAGTTGAGTGTAAGTGTACTTTGCAAGAGCTACAGCTACAGCTACAGCTGCTGCTCCGCTGCCCCGCTGAGCTTTCATTAAGCGCGTCTATGTCTATTCAGCGGCTGCAGCTTTAAAATTTCCGCCTTTTTTTTCGTCTGTCAATATGCCCAAAAAGCAGAGTCGGACGCCGTATAAATTGTCGCAATCAAGCGCCGCATAAAATGTCTCTCTCTCAACACGAGAGAAAGAGAAAAAAAAGAAAGCCGCAGGAAAAGCGACAGCAAGATGAATTACTGTAAATTATCCAGTTAAAAGTTTTCGCTGAAGGACTTTCTAGTCGCTCGAGTGGTCGCCGCTGCCGCCGCCGCTGATTTAACGAGACGAAAAGGTAAAAAGTTGAGCAAAAATCAATTTCGCCACAATTTCACGCTAGTTTGCATAAAAGTAAGTGTAGGCTACAGCTGTGACTCTCGTTGAGTCAGAGCTGCTCTTGAATGACTATGAAAGCAAATTTACCTAATTTACTAAATTTGTAATCGCAAGTTAAAGATAGAGATTCTGAAGAAAATGAAACTTAAATCTTTGACTCAAAATAATTAAATTTTAAAAAAGAATTGGCATGGCTTATTGCCTTTGTTCTATAAATTAATAATAAAAAAAATTTACAACTCAACTCTCAACTAGAGTTAACATATTCTTGAGCTATTGCTTAGCTTCTACAAATATGCTGTAATAATGTATGACATTTTAACGTTAACGTTATGCATATATTTATATAATATATTTTTAATTTATTTAAAATATAAATAAATATATATAAATACATGTATGTCCAGTTTGTATGATCGCCCTTCATTCCTTCCATTCATGTCGTTCACTTCCTCAAACTGCCTTGTTCAAGGCGCGTTCTCTTCGTCCAATGAATTCATAGCGACGCTATGTGAGAGCCTAAGCAGCCATCTCGCTCTTACTCAGCAATACCCCGCAGCACGCTCAGCTCTGCTATATTTGACCCTCTCTCTCTCTTGAACCGATAATTAGCGGATATTAACAATAAGAGGCGCGCAACTAAGACGCAAACTCACTCGAATACAATTTTTACAGCTACTCTTTACAAGCTCTCAGCCAATCACTGAAGGCAGCCACACAGAATTCAATGACAGAATTGAACTACTTCAAAGAGAGTTTGCTATTCAACATATGCAGATAGTTATATATATAATATGTCTTTTAGACTTAAAGACTTAAAGTTTTGAGCTAGAGCTTAAGTTTAGCATTTCTTAAGTACGCTTTTTCTTTAATATTATAATAGCTCTGGCTCTCTGTTTAGTTTTATAGTGTTGCCAGTAGAAAATGTCTTTGGAAACAGCTGCCACAGATGGCTATACGTATGAGTGGATGAGTTAGTCTAGCTGCATATGTGAGCACATGTAGTTTCTGCACTACCTGAGCTTGTCAATGGCTGCTTTTAAATTTGTGCTTGCCTCATTTTTCGGGGCGCAGCTCATGCGAATATATATACATTTTTCTGTTTATATATTTTTGGTCGGGAACATTCATTAATGTCAGGAACATCAGCAGCAGCAGCAGCAGCAGCAGCAGCAGTCGCCACAGCCGCAGCGACTTCGTCTACGAAACAGCCACATAATGTGCCGCAAAACGCATAAAACACACGCGCACACACACACACACACACACACACACACAGACAAGTGTCGTCGTCGTCTGCCCGCTGTTTTATATAACGATTACGATAATGAAGCGACGCCGTTTTCAGCGGGCGCAGCATTTTTATACACAAAATGAGCCAAATGAATGGCTGCCACTAGCCAAGCGAACAGAGTGAGACAGAGACAGACAGAGAGAGAGAGAGAGGGAGACTGAGCTTACTCCAAGGATCTAGTAGTAGCGACGTCTGTCGTTGATGGCTTTTTGAAGTTCTCAACGCAGGCGGCGCAATGATTGGGGGATTATGACGAATTAATGAATTCAGATTTAAATAAAATTACGCAGCGTGCCAGTGCCAGCGCCAGTGCCAGCGCCGGTGCCACGCCCACTTGTGGCCATGCACATTTAACATTTTGCTAATAGAATTAAAGTTTGCCCCGCCCACTCAGCGAACGGGAGCAGCCGGAACATAATGAGCCAGCGACCCAGTCTGGCGTAATTATGATGGGCGCGTATTGGGCATGGCCGCTGCGTTGATAGCGGGCAACAGTCGTCAGCAACTGTTGCCCGCTTAATTAACAACAACAATTGCAATTGTGCAATTGCAGTTGCCACTGTGGCAGGTAATTTTTGTCTCATTTGGGGTCGGGGCAACCTTCGCTTGATGGTTTTGTACGCGCATTGTTGCGGCATTGTTGTTGATTGTTAATTGAAAAACAATGTTGTACGCTCTCGCTCACACTGTCTCCCTCTCTCTCCCTCTCTCTCTCTTGCTCTTGTGCCGACGACTGCACTTAAAGAGCTGTAAATGCAAGTGCAACTTCCACGGCAACAGCGCATCGAGTTCGAGGTTCAACTGCGGCTTAATTAATTTTTATAAGGCCGTTGTTATCGTCGTCAATATGGTTGTTGCTGCACTTTAATTACAATGCACAGAAGTTGCCTTAAGCTCATTGATTAAACTTAATCAATGGCCATAAGCAACGAACAGGATCGCTGCCGGCATGCGGCATGCGGCGTGCGGCGTGCGGCATGCAGCAGGCAGCTCATTAATGTTCGCTCACAACTTTGACAGCCAAAGTGCAATTAGCGTCAGGGCCAAAGCGAAAAGTTGTCATATTATGATATTGAATAGCAGCAAGATGAAAGACCCAGCTACCAAGAAATGTTAATCGGGTAAAGACGAGGAGCGAGAGTGTGTGGTAACAACATGTCAAAAGAGCTTCAAGAGCATAAAAAGTGCCTGAGCTCAAGTAATTCAATAGCCAAGCAAGATTTAATTAATAATTTATATATATATTTATAAAAAGGTAGAGCTGCAGCTCTGATTAACGCGCGCGCAGCACAAAGAAGCTGCAAAAGCGCGAAAGGTTGCATGTGCCGCAGATCCTGAGCTTGCTTCAGACAGAACTTGCAGCTCTTTTGTCTATCGGAGTAGATCTTTGGAATGCCAAGCTTAAGTTCTGTTAATTAACTTTAAGGACTAGCCAGACTCTGCTGTCTAAGCCATGGCCAAGTTCGTCTAAGCGATTATAAAACAATTAACGTCAAACTGTGGCTCAACTCAATTTAGCAATAAAAATCTATCAATTAGCATATGATAATAAAGCAGCTGCCATATATATGTGTGTATACTATATATGTTGGGAAAGTTAAAGAAAGTCTCATGCAGTCCATCATTGAAGGCAAACTGGTAAAAGTCTGTTCGACTAGTTAGTTGCATAGTTTGGGCTGGTTTTGTCAGTCAGTCAACTATCATTATAAGTTGCCCTTTGCCGCTGTTTGCGTCATAATGGCCAAAAACTTTTGCCCAGAGCTCTGTCAGAGTGTGTGTGTGTGTGGCTGCTGTGTGTGTTGGCCATTGTTGGCGCTCAGTTTTGCAATTAGCAACAGTTTTGTCTGCTCAGTGCTTTTAGTCGGCCATTAATTGAGTTGCGCGCACTGAAAACTTAAAAAAAAAAGAAAAGCGAGAAAAGACAAGAAATAGAAAAAACAAAGCACAAAGAATTTTCCACAACTTTTTATTCATTCTTCTTCTTCTTCTGGTACTTTTCTATTTGCAGATCGAGGACGCAATGCTAATGTTCGACAAGCAGACCAATCGGCACAGAGGTAAGCGAACAAGCGATAAACGATAAGCGATAAGCGATAAGCAATAAGCGTTAATAATACAGTTCGTTATAATAACACACATTGACTGACTCGACTCACATGACGTTGCTGTTATAGATATTTTCCTTCATTCATTTTTTTGTTACTTCGTTTCCGGGCTTTAACGATGCAGAAGAAGACGGAAAAGCCGGAAGTGCGAACGCTTTTATTTTTTGTGCGCATTGCTCTGTCAATGCATGACAGATACCGTTACAGATAGCCGGGCACAAACAGAGCTAATACAGTTCTTTTTTCCTACTTTTTTTTTGTGAAAACGTGGCATTAAAATGGCCAAGCGAGCGAGAGAGCGAGAGAGAGCTAGCCGTAAAGATTACCTGTGCAATGCAACCGGATATAGCCCGCACACACAGCCCAGCGAGCGGACGGGCTGGCTGAGTGGGTGGCTGGCTGTCCGGCAAAGGCTTAAATCTCCAGCGCACATCCGCTACACGAACTTGTAGCGCACGAGTGCGCCCGTTTTTTGGGGCCATGCCGTGCCGTGCGACTCGGCTGCTTGTCGTTGTCAATTTTGCTTATTAAAGTTTTAAATGACGCGCCGAAAATTCGCATTGCGAACGCCCAATGACATGTGACAGGAGACGCAGACGCAGCAGCCGGAGCAGCTTCCACCTGAGACAGGGCACATTAAGATTGATGTGTCCATTTTGCAGCTAAAGCCGCACCCGGGGCCAGCGCTGCCGCCCACACACAGAGACGCAGCCAGAGACAGACACAGCCAGCTAACAATGTCGTGGCCCAAAAGTAATTAGCTACTCACACACACGCTCAGTTGGACAGTTGTGCATGCATCAATAGTTGCCTCTATAGTTGCTCTACACACACATGCACAGAGAGAGGGCAATTCACACACACACACACACATAGAGCGAGAGAGTTCATGGCTGGCCTTGTTAACTTGCTGGCCTCATGTAGTTGGAGCCGCTGTCCAACCAAATTACGCACACGGGAATAAGGAAACATGATTTTTGCTTGTATGCGGCCCATAAAAAATTGTTGCATACTTCGGGGCGCCGCCGAGAGATAAGCAGCAGTGGCAGTGGCAGTGGCAGTGGCAGCGGCAGCGCCAGTAGCGAACGCGGCCCACAGAACATTTCGTTTAATTGGACGCTGGAGTACCGAATGCTGCATCATGATGCAGTCATATGAAAAACACAAAAACTCAACTCAGCTCAGAATCAGCAGCAGCAACAGCAGCAGCCTTTGCAAATGGCAATAAAAACAAGCAGCGCCCCATTTAAAAATTATGTGTTGCTGCAGCTGCAAGCTGAGAGACAGAGACAGAGAGGGAGACGGAGAGCAGGTTGAGCGGAAAAGGCAGCGTAGCGCAACAACTGTTCAGAGATAATGCATGAGTAAGATATAAAACTGCAAATTGCCAACGATGCAGATTTATTCGAGTATATTAAAGCAGAAGACAGCGTCGAGAGGCAATAATATTATTAATTCTTTGGACTGATTGCCGAGCGTAATTCCCATTTCAAATTAAAATCAAATAAATAGCTATTTACAGAGCAGCTGGAAATATGTTGAGTAAACATTAATAAAAAGCCAAAAATCGAATTGTATTTAAGAGATAAGACTTTACATTTGGCAATTGGCTGCGACTTTGCCCTATAAATTCATAAATGAAATTTCTATGTAATAAAAACTGAGCTTCGACTTGAAATTTGTCTCAGCTTTGGCCAGGCTCAAGCTTTATAGTTTGATTTCATTTTGAATTCAGGCAACATTTGGTCTTCTCAAGCGTATTCTAATTCATAATCCAGTGCAACAATTTGCTCAAGTGAAAGCGATTCGTCCTTGATTCGTCCTCAATATTGATGAAGTATTTAAATATACTTCTATTTTTTCTTAGCTATTTCAAATTCAAATTGGAATTCGCATTCAGCTAATAGCATGGCAGTTAAGTTGTGAGGGGCTTTTGGTTAAGAATAGCATTTAATGTGTATAGCCTCGTTTTGTGTGATTTCCCCATGAATATGACATGGAAGACGTCCGACTGCTATTGACATGGTGGGCTAGCAGGACACGGCAATTTTGCAAATTACAATTGGCTAGGTCGATCAGAGTACATATGATGAAATATGCAGGCGTTGTTAGTTAGCCAAGACCAACTGCCCAACTTCACAGGGCCAGAGCCGAGTGCCCCAACGACCCGGCGAGCCGCCCCAATCGAAGCGCCCACTGGCAGCGACGTTAACACGGCGCAGCAACGCTTTCGCTTCGAGTCAATAGAAAATGTGTGTCGTTAATCAAAGGGTATTAGTTGTAGCTGTAGCCACAATGACGACGGCAATGGCGATGGCGATGGCGATGGCGATGGCAATGGCGGACCAGGCGACTTTTTATACAAGTTGAACGATGGACGACCTTTTGCCATGAGTTGGACTAACAGACGCTCCAGGGCCCGCCCGCCCGCCTGCCCGCCTGCCTGCTGACTGCTGCCTACTGGCACTTGCGATATGCCTGTAATTGCATTTTATCGATCCAAGTGGAGAAGGTACCCATCGTCTAGCGTACATGTGGCAATTGCCAGCGTGTGCACACACACACACACAGACACACTGACGTTCAGAAACAGGACAGCAACTATAATAAAGAAGCGAAAAAAAAAAAACAAGCGAGCAAAGACGTTGCTTGGGCTACACGGCAGCAAGTTTGTTACTCATTCATAAATCATGTGTGCAGCGACAGACGGACAGAAAGACAGTAGACACATACAGGCAGACAACACACAGAGAGAGAGAGAGAGAGAGAGAGAGAGAGAGAGAGTGAGAGGGGGGGAGTGAAATGAAAGCCTGGTCACTGAAACTTGCAGCGACGTTTTTCCAACTAACGGCTGCAGTTGGCCCAAAAAAAGAAAAAAGTAAGCGATTTGACGGGGGCAGAAACGAAAACTATATGAATATGCCATAAAACAATATAGGCTGGCATACTAACATCTGCAACAGCAGCAACAACAGCAAGAACAGCAGCAACTACAGTAGTTACTAGTAGAGAGCCAACGAAACTAAGCTGTGCCATAAGATGTAACGAAAGCAAGTGACTTGGCTGGGCAAAATAAGAGCTTAAAACTGATCGATATTTCGAAGTGATCGATATTCGAAGTGAACTGTGTCTGCTGGAAATATCGATAGCAATGAACATCGATAGAAATTATTGACTGAAATTATTGTAAAAATATCGTTTGGAAATTGTCTTTAGAACACAGAGTAGGTAAGAATATCGATAGTAACAATCGATAGCAAGTAAATTATATAAGACTATATATGGAAACATTGGTGGGAATCGATAGATGATGATGGCTAGAAATTGGATGGTGGTAGAATATCTATATCAATAAGATTAAGCTAGCATATCGCTGGGAATAGAGATAAAATGTAAGAATATCGATAAGAAAAATAAATAAAAATGAGATTTAATAAGAATGTCAATGAAAACGTTAAATAGAAAAAGAAAAGAGAGAATGAATCGAGAAATAAACTTTAAAAACTAAATTTTTACTTACTTAAAACTTAGCTAAAAATCAAAAGAAAATATATTATTAAAAAGCTAAAGCAAAACTGAGTTCGCCTTGCCACACAAACTTATCGATAATTAAAATCCAGTTGCAAAAGGGGAAATACAAGTACTGAGGCTCACATTTCTATGCACACTAATGACAGTTGAGTTGCAAATGTTGCACGTTTGCCAATTACTACTGTAGCTGATATGGGATACACGACGGCAGCGCCCTGAACTATGCTATGAATTTCATTTGGCAAGCCAAGGACATGCACAACGTGCGCCTAAACAGCCGGCTGAGGCGGCTGAGTGGGCTGCAGCTGAGGTGTTAGTGCGCGTGGGTGCATGGGTGAGTGGGCCAATAGCAGTTGGCAGTTGGCAGTTGGCAGTTGGCAGTTGGCGTCGCCAGCCGCTACTAATATTAAAATTGAAAATTTTGTAATTTTTCTCGTTTTTTGGCAAGCCGGCGCTGCGCAGTCATAACAGCTGGCAGGCAAACTGCCACGCCGCCCCGCCCCACCTTCCTTCTGCAGCGGCTCCTCCAGGCGCTGTCCCTATATACACACAATCTATATATGTGCGCGCACATACATGGCATATCTGTGGCCGTTACTTGGCAATAACATGCATGAGTGTGCAATTTGTGCAGTTGGCAAAGGCATCGTCAGGCACTCTGCGTCCTGCGGGAAATTTTCGACAGGTAAAAATGGCAGCAAAGCAGCCGCAGAATTAACTAGCAAAGCGACTCCAGCCGCCAGGGCATTTTTCATGGCAGCCTTGCCGCATTTGTTGCCGGCAGATACATTTTTGATTGAGTTACGTGTGGGCGGCAGCAGCGAAGATGTGAGGCCGAGCAGGTAGCAGCTAGCAGAAAAGAAATTGCTGGCTTCATTTGCTAGCCACTCGGTCGGCGCTCGACTGATTTATGAGTGGTCAGAGGCAGCAGTAAAAGCCGCCGAAAAGCAGCCCGTGGCAGCGCCTGTGGCAGCAGCAGCAGCAGCTACGAAAGTGCCAACAACTACGTGCAACTTGCAACGTGCGCTAATTTTATATAATTAAAACAAACACAAACACAGCAAGTGGGCGGCGCAGAGAGCGAGAGAACACTGAAGACTCTCAACGCCCACAAGTTGTTGCAAACAGAGACGAAGAGGTCAGAGGGGGAAGCGAGCTAGCGAGTTAAAGGAAAGCAGCACATGTCGCTAATAAGCCTGCGTGTTTACTGTTACTTGTTTCAACTAATTTGTCAGCTACGCCCAACGCCCGCATGCCAAGGCAAACACACACACACACACACACATAGAGACGCAGAGTAAGCAAAGACTATGCTTAGAGGCGTGGCATGAGGTGTCTGCACTTGGCCTTGCTAATTGCACAGTCCTTTTGGCCAGGCCAAATCTCAGACAATTGCGCTAATTGAAAAACCTCGATAAGACCAAAGCGAAAGCTAATAGCAAGCTCAAACACACCAGCACACACGCACACACATAGATAAAATGGAGCTTCACTAAAAACATTTTGGCTCTCTGTTGTCCTCGGGTTTCCTTTTTCATGTAAACACGCGTTGAAAGCTAGTTGCGTTAGCTTACGAACTTGAGATGTTCTTTCAAATATATAGAAATAACATCTTAAGCCAATGATCGATAGTGCGCCAATGATCGATATTTTTGGTAATTTTATTGAAAGGGAGCACCAAAAGAACAGAAGAAGATACACACTTAATAACTACATATAATCAGTCAATGTTCGATAGTCTATATGTTATCGATTTCCCTACCATATAGCAGTGTCATCACTAACAAGTTATTTTCTATGCAGTAAGCCAGCTAGTTTAAGAGGCATGTCCATCTAAGCGTATCTAATATATTCTTAGAAGTATTAAAAACTATTCGATAATCTTTGATTTATCGATTTTTCACATTTATTTTTTCATATTATTTTTGTCAAGCATTCGCTTTTCAAAATCTCTAAGAACTTCTACGCACTCATACATTTTAGTGTTGAACAACGTTCTTTTCTTCACACCAATTATCGATCATTAGGTTAGTGTCATCTCTAGCTAGCGTAGCACAGTTTTGGCACACTTGCCTATGGAAACTTATAATTTTTGTAAAATTAACAAAAATTTGGAATTTCGAATTTCGGATGTCGGCATAGAAACTGAATGGGGCGTCCAATGCGCTGATTCAGCATTTTCATGCAGAGTAGTTGGTGAGGCGCGTCGCAGCAGCAGGGGCAAAAACTTCATGACAAACTTATTATGCACTCGGCTGGGTTATTTCCAGAGCTGGGCAAAGTTTGCTATGTAAACTGGGAGCAGGGCAGTGTTTGAATTACTCTGCCCAGCCGGCACTTGAGTCCCTGCCGCATATTGAGGTCAGCTATGGGGCGAATGGAGGGACAGCGAGGGTTCTAGAGGGGCCAGAGCTGAAGTGCCTGTGGTACAGTGGAGACGGGACAGGGCGACTGTGACTGTGGCAGCGGCCTGCCTGACTGGCTAGCTGACTGGCTGGCTGGCTGGCTGACTGTCTGGGCTCGTCTCAGTCTCGACACTTGAGTAAATTATTTAGCCGCTCGCACAAAAGCATATTTCGTTCAATTTTTGCAGCTCTTAAACTTGTTTGCCCACTCTCCAGCGCTCCAGCGCTCCAGCTCTCCAGCTCTCCAGGTCTCCAGCTCTTCAGCTCTCCAACTCGCTGACTCGCTGACTCCCTGACTCACTGACTCTTTCGCCTTTTTCACTTCTCTTATTTGTTTGTTTGTTTGCTTGATTTTTTGCAGGTTTTGGCTTCGTTACATTTCAAAGCGAAGATGTGGTAGACAAAGTTTGCGAAATTCATTTCCATGAGATAAACAACAAAATGGTAAGTCAAGCGAAGCCAAATGAAACGAAACGGCGCAGCATTTCTATATCTAATCCCGTTCTGCCGCAGGTCGAGTGCAAGAAGGCGCAGCCCAAGGAGGTAATGCTGCCGGCAAATCTGGCCAAGACACGGGCGGCTGGTCGTTCCGCTTACGGTGAGTTGGTAGTCTGGGGCAGCCACGCAAATCAGGCGACGGCAACGGCGGCATCGGCTGCCGCCGCTGCTGCTGCTGCTGCCACGCCCGCCGCTGCACTCTTGCCAAGTAGTTTAGCCGCTGCCGCCACAGCGCTGCAGCAGCAGCAGCAGCAACAACAACAGCAACACCATTCACACCACCAGCAACAACCACAACATCCACACTCACATCATCATCATCATCACCATCAGCTGCTGGGCGCCGCTGCAGCAGCCGCCTCGCTGCGCTACACGCCCTATCCGCTGCCCACGCACATTTCAGCCGCTGCCGTGGCCGCAGCAGCCGCAGCTGCCACGCAACAACAGCAGCAGCAACAGCAACAGCAGGCAGTTGCTGTTGTCGCCCAGCAGCAACAGCAGCAACAGCAGCAGCAACAACAGCAATCGCTGGCACACGCTGTAGCCGCTGCCGCCGGCGCACCTTCGCTGCTGCCTCTGTCCAATTCAACGCCCTCGGGCGCTCCTTCGCTGCTGCAATATGCAGCTGCTGCGAATGCTACACAAAACAATGTGGCTTTGGCCAATTCACTCTATGCCGATGCGGCTGCCGTTATGGGCTACAAGCGCCTGCTGGCCGCTGCTGCTGTGAGCAGCGGCCTGAGGGCCACGCCCACCTTGGGCGCTCTCACAGCGCCAGCAGCCGCTGCTGCGGCAGCTGCCCAACAGGCGCAGCTGCGTCAAAACGCAGCTCTGGCCGCGGCACATTATCCGCTCAGCGAGCTGCTGGCCATGCCCGCCAGCCTCGAGACGGCAGCAGCTGCCTCTCTATATCAGCTGCCAGGCATCTGACCGCCAAGGCCTCAGTGAGCCGCCGCGTTTATTTACTAAAGCAGCTGGCAAAGCTAATGCTATACACACACACATACGCACACACACACACACACATCTGAACTCTCATTCCGTCTCAATGTCCAAAGCGCGAACGTGTCGCATTACTTATACTTAGGTCTTAGGTCTGAAACGTGTATGATTATCCCTAGCCATGTATGCGCCATATACGTACATACACACATACATCATATATGAATGTACATACATATATACACGAAACATATCTACATATTTGCATACTACTATTCGTACATGTATTCTGTGTCTAATCGGTACGACGCGGCGTATGCGTAATCAATTTATACAAAATTAACTTAGCGTAACGCATTCATTTCTTTCTCTAGAGCTTAAGAAATTTTGGTTTAAGATTTAGGCTTAAATAAACTAACTTAAAAAAAACGAAATTAAATTAAATTATTTAAGAGCAGATCCTAGAGAGCTGCATAGATTTTTTGCTCAACGTTTCGATTAACAATCGATGCTTAGAGTTACCTTAGCGACGATCGTAATATACGTGTAACAGTAAAAAGTAACTGTAAACAAAACTGCGTGTAAGTCTTAGACATTGTACAACACTAGAACGTAAGAACTGAATATGAAACATCAATTGAAATGCAAAAAAAAAATAAAACAAAAAAGAATTGAGAAAAGTATTGTCAAATTGAAAGAAGAAGAAGAAGAAGAAAAACAATCACATTTATATATTTCTAATACTTGTATAACTAACATTTACCAACTCTATATACAATATATATATTTATTATATATTCGAACTTCAGCTCATAACAATAGCTCTTCAAAATGAAGAACTGTAGAACCGAATACAATTAACGTTAACGATATAATAATGTCATAACTAGCAAATGTATTAAAATTAGCTTTTAAGTAAAGCCGCATTTGAGTAGGCAACAAATAAAGCTGACAGGCTTACACACACACACACACACACACACACACACGTTTGTGTGTGTCAACCATTTTAGTTAAACAAAGTCGCAAACGTAGAGACAGAAGCTGGCATTAGAATGGCAGCTGCCTGTCTGACTTGCTGTCTTTCTGGCCGTCCGTCTGTCCGCTTGAAGACTTCACAACACTGGTTAATTGATAATGTCAATTGGAGCGCAAATGCCTTTCACAAAATTACCAGCTGTTGGCCACTTAAGACCCTATACATACATGCATACACCTTTACATACATATATTTAGATATTAATATTTGACTTAAACATGAACTTTAGCTATTGATTATACATATATATATAAATACATTTACTTACTTGATAAGCGCATTAAGTGCTTCAAGTTAACTGCTAGCTAATGCTTGAATGTTGATGCTCGTTAGCGTGAGGTGAAAGTGGGTATATTGGCTTCTAAGAGTAGTCTATCTTTATCAAAGTGTCTGAGTTAAGATATTATGTATACGTCCAGTAGAACAAAGCTGTCATCAGTTTTACCGCTAGAGGCTTTAAATTTGTTAACCAACTTAGGAAGGCAGCCTCAAAAGCTCCACTTAAACTATGCGCCCACTAGGGGCGTGGCTAATTCGCAATAACAACTTCCAGTTAAACAAAGCCTAGCAATTTTTCCCTGAACAGGTTAGACTCTGAACTGAAAACTTTTCTAAATTCCCCAACTTTTCCCAATCGTCGACGAGTATTATGGAGTCGGCTATGCTCGACTGCAACGTTATTAATTGTTGTCCATTGTAATAGTGTACTCATACGTATCTAAGACTAAGAACAACAACAACGACAACGACAACAATAGCTACAACAACAGCAACTGCAATACGCACAGGAAACGATGCCAAATGATGAACGAATAATTGATTGATTGATTGAATGATTGATGACAGCCATGGAACACAAAAAAAAGCAAACAAATTTTACATTTGAAAAAGGAAAAGCAAATGAAAATGAAAATGAAAATCTATTTACATTAACATTTTCTTAACTAGCTGTCAAATTGTTTTTTGCCATTTGAATATTTTCAATGTTTTTTTAACCACTTTGTTGTTTTTTGTAGTGTATTTTTTTTTTCAATTTCCTCTTTTGCCATTGCCAATTTGTGAGTGTGTGTAAACACTTTTGAAATCATTTAATTAGTTGAGTTGCGGGCGACTGAAACGCAATAGGCCTCGAGAGTCTGTGGCATTTGGTAGAAGTGCGCAGCGAGGCTTTAGCAATGCTTTCACGCCTCGCCCCTCGAACAAATACACTAGTTAACAAAATAACTACAAAGTCTAGTATTTACATTTTAGCATAGTATTTCAATGTGTTTTATTTTATTTTATTTATTTTTTTTGCCTTTCTAGTAAACAATGTCTACGTATTTACAACTATATTTAAACGAACTCTATATAAACATTAATATATATATAACTAAGTGTTTAGAATTGTGTCATATCTATATATATAGATACATAGCTAAATTTATATCGACAGATGTAACTCTCTATATACTATTTATCAATAGCTCAGCAAGTCGAGGCTGTTAATGGAAGAAGAAGAGGCTGCTCAAAAGCATTCTAGAATCTGTCGCTCTCTAACAGCCGTACTTATATCTTAGTATATAGCATAATAATCGATAAGTGTTAATCGATTATTATTTAGTTTACACACTTAGATCATTAAGTACACACACACATACACACACACACACACACAATATAAGAACATATATATTACATATATAGTTAAACCGTCTTTCATGCTATATTCTTAGACTTTTATCGAATATATATCTATATCAATATATACATCTTTGATCTCTTTGTTTTCTAGGAGTACTTAGCTCTTAACTAAGCGCACTTATGAATGTTAGTAATTGATTTATGTTTATGCCTTTCTTTTTTGTGCTCTCTCTTGTTTTTCATGCTCCATATTTAGATAACATCATGTGGGGTCTGGGGACATTGCCCGAAGGTAAGCATTAGCTATGAGTAGACAGTTCTAGCCCTAAGTTATGAATTGTTTTATAACAAAATTCTAATTTTTTCTCTCTCTCTTTCTCTCGCAGGCTTTCCGGCAGCTGCGTATGCTGCCTATGCCGCTGGTCGCGGCTACTCGGGCTATCCCAGCTTTGGTCTACCCTATCCAACTGGTAAGTCAACTCTCTCTCTCACACACACACACACACTCACACATACCTTAACTACTTATATATATATATGAATATCTAGTATATCCTATGCATATGTCGTAAGCCCCGTCTGCGTGCGTGTGTGTGTGTGAGTGAATGTACTTGGCGTGCATTTTGTGACTACTCTTAAATCGAACTAAAGCTAATGCGTAAAGCCTAAAGCCTAAAGCCTAAAGCCTACCCCGCATTGCCATTTGTGTTAGTTGATATGACGAAAGGCCTTGTTTAACTAGTCCAACTGTTAGCTATAATACAAATACATATACATATGCATATACATCTATGTGTATATATGTAACATGATTAATTAGCATAACATACTAACTGCTGCTCGAAACGTTTCTTTTGTTATTAAATTATTTATTCGTTGCCCACATCGAATCGAAATATTCGCTTTTCTTCTATTTTTCTTCTATTTTCTTTCTTCTTGTTTATTTACTTTTAACCCTATAGCTGGTGTTATGGGCGTAATGCCGGAGAATCGTATACTGATCGGTGATTACATGGTCGCCCCCACGACAGCCAGCAGCACGGCCTAGAAGCGACTATGACTATGACTATGATCTAAACTGACATTTGTTTGATCGAGTATTATACCAAGATCTGAAGAAATAAAAACAAACAAACTTAAACTGTGAAAAGCAAACTCTAGAGCGTTCGTCATATCAATGCACAAATCGTACTCTAAAACAAATCTAAGAAAATATAACTGAAATCATAAGCGAAGCAGCTCCAAAGACATATTCATCATTTAGGCGCCCCACTCACATCCATTGCTGCTGCTTGGCCTTGTGTTTCTATATCATCACACGCATACACTGAGCGAAAATCCCGACTCACACACCATTTGCTAGTACTAGAGCCCACTCCCACTCGATACAAAAGCCTCTACATTCATTCCCATCTGTGTTTTGGTTCTTTTATTATTATATTTTGTTTCGCTAGGGTTGGAACGGATGTTGGCAGTACTCAAATCCAACACTAGCCACAGTTATCGATTAACGATAAACGATTGTCAGAAGTCAGCAAACAGAATTAGCGAACAGAATCAGAAACTTGTCCCAAAATTCACGAATGCAAAGATTTTGAATATATAAATATATATTTTCATATAAACGCATTCGTCCCAACCCTAGCCTAGTCACCCACTCTCTCTCTCTCTCTCTCTCTCCCATTTTCTGTCTCTCTCTCTCTCTCTCTCTGTCTCTACATGCAAACTATTTGTTGTTTCATATGATTTTGTAGGCTTAACTATTTGTGGCATCGGTAGAAGTTATGGTACCACATGTAGCACGAATCCGGGCCGCAGCAGAGCCGCCAATTGCACCGCTGGCGGCGGTGCAGCAGCGGCTGCCGCTGCTGTGCACAATCAGCCCCAAACGGGATATCAACACCATCAAACGCTGACTTTGCCGCTGGCCACGGCGCTGACAGCGCGCACCGCCGCAATCAAATCCCAATTTCTGGGCAACATCAATTTTTAAAACAAGCCCCAATAAAACCAGATAAACCATAAACGATAAACGAGAGAGCGGGCCAAGCTACAGACGAGAACGGGCTAAGCGAGGGGCCGGCGATATTGTATTTAATATTTCATTTGCCATTTTGTTTCTTTTTCTCTCTGGGTCTCAACGACAATACGCAAAGCAAAGAAAAAACAAAAAAAAAGTATATATAAATCATTTGTACTGTGACAAGTAGGTACAACAAGAGCAACCACAGCAACAACAACAGCAACAACATGAGCAACAGCAACAACAACAACAAGAAACACAAATCAAATTTATTAGCTTAGATTGTTTCTGGTAAAAACAAATATTGAATCTATCAACCAAAAACCAAAACAAAAACAGAAAATAATAAAGAACTTATACAACTATTTGTAATTGCAGACCCATACATACACACATACATGCATATATATATACACCTATATATCTATGTGTGTGTGTGTGTGTTATATATAATCACATTTAGTGCTGCTGGCGCATATATGTGTGTACACACTGTAGCTGGCCTTATTAGACCTTTACTAAATACACATATTTAGCATTTGTTTGTACTGCATAGACGACCCCCTAGTTGCGTATACCCACTCTACTATATGTATAACTCAGTATATATCAGGCGTATCTATAGTGCAGTTCTTTCGATTTACTATATACATATATACTCGATACATGTGTAGTCCTTAGGTGAAGCATAATCGCATAATCGTGTAGAAACCCGTAGAGATATGACACAATACACACACCCACACACACACACAGTGAACACTCCGTATATGCTACCAATTGTAATTTCCATTAATTCTCATTAAACAACTCCCATTTGTTATTATTTATAAAAACTATTTTACAGTTAGCGCATTTAAATGCAAATTTTTTATTTGTAGTCCATCTGCATAAATTAGTGGGAAAACCAAATGTCGGCGCACACGCACACACACACACACACACAGAGCGCAGAGAAACCCATTTAGATAAAAACTACATTTTAGCAGGCCTGTCACATGTGTGTGTGTAGCATCATATTATTATCCTTTAATTAATTTCCTGCATAATATGATTTTTGTTTTTCTCTTTTTTTCGTATTTTATTTTCATTTCGTTTCCCCTGAGTTTTTTAGATAATCAACGAACGTGCACAGATTTCTAGCAAAAGTTCATTAATTAGTTGAATTTTTGCGTGTTTTTCTCTCATCTCTCTGACTCATGAAAGATAAAACTCCTCGAAAACTCGATTCACATAAACATATACATTTCTCTATATATATCGCATATCCTGCATACGAATTCCTTCATCGTTATTGCATCCGAAACCGAAACTGAATCAACAGCAACAAAATTTCTACCAAAAATGAGCGAAAAAAAAACTTTTTATTGAAATCTCTATATGAATAAAACATTAACTATATATACATATATTATACACACATATTTATATTATAACTGAAAAAGAAAATATATCTAAAAATAAGTTAAAAAATATTTATTTTATACACAAAGAAAGGAAAAACCAAATCAATATCTAATTTCATTTGTACAATAATAATAATAATGATAATACAATAAAAGCGAATGGAAAGAGCAAATCAATTTTTAAATATCGAAATAAAATTAAATACAATATTAATGTCCATCCATTTTCGAAGAGCAAAGTTTAAGTTTGATGAAAAATGGAATTTTTCTAATGTCCTTTCGATTAATGTAAGTTCGTTTACTTAGCTACCAATACATATATGCATATACACAAACACAGGCAAGAAGCTGTTAATTAGTTAATTGAAAGTTTTGGCAAAATTCATAATGTGAAATATAACAAAAGGACGAAGCAGCAACAACTGCTTGAAGGTAGCTTAACTTATATATATATAAAATGCTTGCAAGTTATTTATAGACATAAACACACACATGCATAATTAACTACTTATATAACACACTCACACACACACACGCATATCTATGTATTTTACACGTATATACTGTGATTTATAAGAAAACGCTTCAAACCAAAAACAAGAAGAAACAACAAATTTGCCAAACGCATAATTCAAAATTGCTAATGCAACAACAACAAAAAAAACCAAAAGTTATTAACTAAATAAATGCACAAAAAAATAAACGGAAACAAAATCCGCCAAAAAAAAAAAACAAAGCCAAGTTTATAATTTCCTAGCCGCAAGGCTTTAGTTCTTTAGTCTTGAAAGCGAAAAGCAGCAAGCAAATGGATCAACGCGGCGTATGCGTATTATGCACTTGCCTGAAGAAGCAGAAGCAGCAGCAGCAGATGAACAACAACTGCCAACAAGGTCAGCTAAATATGGTCGTCTTAATATACAAAAAACTGCATAATCCCACAGCATAATCTCTCTTTATATATACTCTCTCTCTCTCTCTCTCTTTTATATATATATATGTATTTGTACGCAAAAGCCGTTAAACACATTTTCTAATTATTAAATGTACCGTTAGTAATTGGTTTACTTAGCTAAAGTCTTAGTGAAAAAAAAAAAAACAAAAAAATCAAAAATCATGGGCAATCGAAACTCAAATTGTAAACTGCTTCCGCGGCGGCAGTACAGTAGCTCACATATGTATTCTCATACCTCTAGATATAGACATATTTATACATATATGTGTGTGTAGTCTTAACTAATATAGAAACTATATATATATGTATCTCTTTTAAGTTTGTTGCTCAAATAACTCAACTAAAAGTAGCTCACCAAGAACAACAAAACCAGCTAAAATATTCAATGAAAATTTTGTGAAATGTATTTTTAACTAAAATTTAAGCTAAATAATGTAGCCACTAGCTTAGTCAACACTAATTCAAGACAATTGTGTAGTGTTCG